ATGATGATGATGATGATGATCAATTGTGGTGCAGGAGAGACATCTGCTTATCCGTCAAGGGTCGAGTTTACAATGCTGCGGTGCGCTTCATATTATTATACGGGTAAGACACCTGGCGGCTGCGCTCCGGGGACATCAATCGTTTTTCACTGTTGCACCATCGATGTCTTCAAAGGACTTCCCGAGTGTTGTAACATCCCTCCTTTCACTGTCAATTCCTCCGGTTCCGTTGAACTTCTTCACCTGGATATCACATGAAATCCGCATATCGTAGATGCAATTCTTAGCTGAGGCGCCCATAAACGATTGATTTCCTTCATTTTTATAGAACCCTGTTAATTTTATTGATCTGTGCTAGGCGGGTTTGATCGTAAAGCAGAAATGACACAGGGACCTTTACTCGAACCACCCGCCATCCAAGCTTGGGTGGACAAGCATGTAAGGGACGTCTTAAACAATCCCATCACAGACGATCTCATTGTTGAGGTTCCCGATGGGGAACTTTGAGTGACGCGTAGGCTCGACAATCCCGAATATCAAAAGGAAGAATTGTGTTCGAAATTCTGCGGCACTATATGCACAAGGGTAAGCAAATTTTCGCAGCAAACCTCAATCGTCCACGTCCGTAGTGTCGACAAGCGCACAAATCTGTCGCTGATTGACACAATGCAGTGTCAGCGCCGCACAGTGGTGCAGGTTTCAGCGTCCTTTCCGACAGCGGTCTCGTGATTCTCATTGGCGTTGCGATCACACAGAACTCATGAGAAAGCAAGACAAGGCAGGCTCAGTAAACGCTCATGAACGTGTCAGCCGCGCAGAGTCATATATGCTAATCTATGGGTATCGGACGGTCTTTGCGTCAAGGTGAGTGGCGGGAACAAATGAGCAAAGCAAGTGGAGCTTAAAAGTACATAAGCAGAGTGCGCAAATGATGGAGGGATTATCATGGGGTCAAGTTAGATTCCATACTCATGCAAACTTAATAGGGACTTGGCTTCTACTCCGTTGTGACGGATGAGTAACAGTTACTTTTGCCTTGAGAGGTAGCCCCCGTCTAAACAAGTGATGTGAAATTACTGATAACAAGTATCCGCTCTTGAGGTTCACGAATTGGTTACCACATCACGTCTAAGTTTTGCCCTTACTTGTCACTGACAAACAATGGAGTTCCGGCGCAGTTGGAACACAAATGCTTCCGCTTCTTATGACTGTTGTACTTTTGCAAAGCTGGTTCCCAGTATCCCCTTTCCGTTTGCTTCTGAAAGACTTCGATCAACAATGGGATCAGTGGGAATTCGGTTGCTGGACAGCTCTTCTATCCTAGCCCCATTCAATTGCACCATATTGCGCGCCGTGCCTAAGTATGTGTCTCCTCTACCTTATTTAACCGAATCTACCGCTGCTGTGACTGGGAATGCTATTTTCCTAAAGAGAACGTCCTGACGAAATCTGCGGCTATCAAGTTGAAGAGATGCAATGGATGAACACTATGCGCCAGGTAGGCAGACGTGAGCCTAGCCCTAATGATCTGCGGTAGAAGAAACTGCATTCGAATCTATTAACATCAAAACCAGATAAAACAGCCGGTAAAGTTTGAGCACTGATGACAAGACCATCCGGTGTCTGGTTCAAAAATGGAACAGTTAGCAGTAGCGTTAATTGGCATATTCCAGTGACAATTCAACTGCATTCTCGCCTTAGCAGGAGAGCAACTCCATCAATGTTGGGTTGGAAGTGTTGCTTTTTCGTAGAGAAAGGACTAGCGACGGCGAAGTTCTGTGAAGTAGAAAAAAGATGCTTGTCTTGTGTCCGCTGCGTGAATGACTGTAGCAACTGAGCCAACTTTCGTTTAGGCTAGCTGACTCCAAAAGAAAGGCTCAAACTTACCATTTTGAAGAAACAGCTGATCCCATGGTCCTTTTCGGAAAAATGGGTGTTTGATTAAAACAAACTCACATCTATCAAGGGGTAAGAACGACTGATCCTGTGACCTTCTTCGAAATATTCAAAGTATGCATGCATTATTGAGCTGTGAATACAATATGTCCACGAGAACCTGTGTTAAGGTTTGGTCTTCCAGCGACCAAATTATTTTACGCATCAGCATAGAGCATATCAGTAAAACAGAGACACTCCACTGCAGCATGTGTGTCATTTGCAGCTAATTTGACCCGTTTCATTCGTACATCTGAGTCCCAATGCAATTATTAAAAAGGAAGCCGATGAACAAGGAGAATAAGTTCCAACCTTTGCAAATGCTCCTTTTGTTGGAGATCACTGCATTGATTTCTCATGGATCGCTCTTGATAAGTCTTTCTTGGTACTTATGTTCCCCGCGTTTACTGGTTACTCACTTTACTTTACACCATCGGCTTGTTTATTGGCTTTTCTTTGAGATCAAATTAAAGCTGGTTCTTCGGACCATAGATCGAGCGATTTGGCAGGGATCTGGTGGCGGTGGATAACAACCTGGAAGTTGTATAGAAAAACACACTTAGTTAACTACCCTTAACGAAGATATTTCCCCATAATTTGGGGTCTATGATATTGGCGCATCGCCCTCTGGAGTTTAGCTCCTCGTTGACACGGAGCTACCCTCAGGGTATAATATCAGTCAGAAAGTCACATTTAACTTCTAAAAATTTCTGGAAAATCAAGTGGACTATTCGAAGTGTCAGATCCTCGTAATCGTGAACCATCCTCTACACAAGATATCTGTGGCGTTTCAGCCACCTTGAAACTGTCAATCTCGGTTTGCTCAAACGTTAGAGGATCGTTAAAAGATTTTGAGATCTAAACAGTGGGCTTCCGAGCCTTCTGTATTTAATATGACTTCTCTCTATTTTAAGGGAACTTCACGTCATGGGCTGAGAATTGTTTGACCTGTTCCCCCATATTCCCGAGTACGATCAATATATATCCTGAGTATGCTCATCACCCTCATAGTTCGTAAAATGTAAGTCTGTTCAAGCCAGCCAGTTAACTAGCGTATCGTTTTATTATCGGAAAGTAATTTGCCCGATTGACAGGGATGCACATTTCATTGTAGAGCTTTACAGCCCACTGTACACTGACCATTTGAAAGTGAGCTGAGAGCTTTGACAACCGGCAATATTCCGTCGCATTTCGATGACCTGATAATCACCAGAACCCAGATCTCACAGGACGCGCCCAGGCATGAAAAAGCACATGTGCAGAGAGCGATACATCCCCAAGGCCACGTTTCGGAAAGCTGGTGCGTTGGCGGAGCCCACGGAACACGGCTTAGCAACATACGACCAGTGGAGTGGGGCTGAAATTGTTCACGACCGGAACACCGCCATGGGCTGTACAGAGCGAACAAGTGAACGACCATATTCGGCCATGTAGTCATCCTGTATATTTATGCATAAGCTCTGTATGTTTTGTCCTGACAATACTGCCGTGTCCAGAGTTCTCTGTCTTCTTATCGCGTAGCCTGGCTGGTTCAGTGCAGGCGTAACCAAAAGACGGCCACCCAAGACACAACATTGACGGGCTAATTTCATCAAGATAATCAGCTCTCTTAGGGGCGCTTGCCACTGCCGGATATGGAAACATTTCACCCCTTGCATAGAAACAAGATCAGCTGACCGTTATTCCATAGAATGCATAACACTGGTGATTTTGAACGAGAAAGGGACTGATGTGCCGTAGTGGGAAGACGAACCTGTTTAGTAAGTGGATGGCTTGGGAGAACCTAGTAGTCACTTGACTGTTTTTGTCTTAACTCCTGATTAGTCTGTCAACCCTAATGCTTAATAATTTTTTAAAGCTTCGAAAACTTGCGTCAGCTTATAAACTCCTCTGTTTTAACTCCTCATTTGTTTTTTCTCTTTCAACAACTCATGCGCTTGCATGCGTCTTGCGTGCCACTTTCACAATCCCAGTCTAGTGCACCTTGTTTCTGCACTTACTAATGAGGTCATTATAACCGTGATCTATTATGATGTTATCGATGTTATGATGTTCCCGAGCATCCCACTTCTTTAGTAGCACGTCGGCGGATCCCAGATGAGGAGAGTAATGCTGTTAATGAATCGCCCCATTTTCGCCCTTCGATTTGTATCATTATTGGTACGCAGAGCACTGTTGAGCATATGGTAAGACTATGCAGTAAGTTTACAAAGCCAGGACATGTGTTATGTACCAACCTGGGTGAACAGATCAACGGTCATCTGGTCAGTAGCCAGCTAACCCACCCAAGCTGTTACTATTTAAAGACATCGATAAAATCACATAAAGTATTGTGATACGGACATCATTGTCCTCATATGTTCGGTCACAGAAGATGAACCCAAATGAACAGTTTCTGTAACCTCCCCCTGGTTTTCTTGAAGGAACGCCACACATAAAGTTTCTGAAAAGAGAAAGTAGATTGTGACATTCTGAATTTAGAAGACATGAAACGGCCTGTATGCAATATACCCAGCTAAGAAGATTTAAAAGAGAGATCTATTTGAATCTCTCGGTAGAACAAAATTAGCTTCAGAGGAAGTAATACGCTTTGTTTTTTACTCAATGTAAAACCCAGCCACTGTGAAACCGCAAACTATTTTATCATTTGGCATAAAATGAGTGACACACAGTGGATAGCATGTGAACTAGTTGAAAAGACGGCAGCTATAATCCAGCTTTATGCATTTTTTGCTAGATCTTCCCCAAACCACGGTGCTCGAGGAAGTAAAGGATAATGACGAATTGCTCGGATGGTTCTGTTTGACTGACGGTTATCCTAACGAAGCCAGTACCTATCAGCTTACAATTCTGGAACAGCCCAGTAATTCCTTCTACCAGATTGATGTGAACGAATTGGTGCTGACACCCTATTCGGTTTTCGGACAGTTGAGAGTGCAGTGTATTGCCGAAGGCGTATGGAATGGGCAGAATATTGTGGTTAACGGTACACATAATTTAACTTATGTTGGTAAGTCTTAGTTTCCTCTATGAATGACATTCTGAGGTTACTTGGTTGTTCTCGCACTCATTGTTCCGCCCGAGTTCATCATGAGGTCTGTATGATTAACCGTGTTGAACGTGGAAATATTGAATTTAATAAAAGCCACACACAACCTCACGCGCCAGTTTGAAATGCGCCATTTGTAAAATTGGTCTACGCGAGCGTGGTCCTGACACTGAAAAATACTCAGGTTTTCGACTCCCCTGTGTCCGTCAGATGAGTCCCAGTAATGATATACTCGCTCAAATGTCAAGCTTCTCAAGACCCCACAACATCTTAACCGGGAACTGACGTTTTAATTGAAAAATACAGAGGGACACAATAAGCCCTCAAACACCATGATCTGGCATATTTGATGCTCATGAAAAACACACCATGTTTTATACCCATCATGTGGGTTGGTGTTGGCGAATCCGTAACCAGACAGTTAGAAAGCGTGTTTTCGGCTGTGTAACGGGTACTTCCATTGAAGAATGTGTCCAGCACCAGAAGTTGCGTTGGTTGGGACATGTGTTACGTATGCCGAACCATCGTTTTCCGAAGAGAGTGCTGTTTTCCATGCCCAACTCAGAGTGGCGTAAACAGAGAGGTGGCCAACCCTTGACTTGGCAGAGTGGGTGAATGTCTGGAGGTATAGGCACCTCGAAATGATTGTGGTAAGTTAGCACTAAGTCCCTCCCCCGTCCACCTTTATTCCTTTCTTTACAATAGTTCTTTCAAATAAATCATGGCAGTACGGCAGTGAAGCATCGGTGTTGAACACTGATGTCATGCTGTCGATGATGATGATGATGATGACCCATCGACTTTGTCCAAACTGGTGAAACTATCTGCTTCTTGAACTCCAGTCTAAATAACTATGATGCCGGTCGAACAAGAAGGGTACTCTGAGACATACATGTTGTTAGGCGGAATTCCACGCAGATCCCGCTTTACCGCTCGTACTCAGGTGCTGCTACGGCCGGGAACTCCATCCCACGCAAGATTGGCCAAGAACTCGGGACGCTAGCCGGTCCGGCATCAAGACGAGATCCGGTTGGTTGAAAGTCTGGACCCAACAGTCAATCATGACCCAGTATTGGCCAAATGCCGGTTGCCAATGCCGCATCCAGAACACGTCAGAAATTCCAAAGTTATAACCGCCTACACACTATATATACGAAGCTGTACAGCTGTTCCTGACTTTGGTTGGGGGCGTTAACATACCTTGTGTACCTTTGGTGGTTGTTTCTGAGGCAAACGTTAGCTTGGGAGGCTCAGACCGAGAACTAAGCTGGGAGAAATACCGTTACTACACAAGTAGAAATGTGAAAATTGCAAGAGTTCCAGAAAATGTTGGACTTTTTTGGAAGTTCATTTGCAGACTAGTGCTTCCTTAGTATGTAAGATGCTGTTAAAGCAACCGAATAATCATACTTACTTTCGTCATCTCCTTGAAAAGATTCAACAAATGCACTCATTCGCACATCAATTTGTTTTTCGCAGGAGACTCAACTGAATTACTCGTTTATGATATTCTACAACTGAATGTGCTGCACAAGGGCCGCCAGTTGGTACGGTTTAGCCCAAAACACAGAATTACTGGATAGTTGAGAAAATAGGCTGAGAATATTCGCGGAGACTGTTACATGGTGTGCGATGTCGGCACCAAAGACTAGTAAGGTCAAAACAAACACAGCTGGCGTGATACACTCCTTCGTCGAGGGCAAACTAAATGAATCTCTTATTTGTGACATTCAACTGAGTCTGTATTTAACGTCAAAGCAACTGGCATAGTGGTGAAGGTGCTGCTGTGGATCCGAAAATATTAAGAACAGTCTATAATAATTTTTGAATCGATTCACTCTTCTTCAAGCCTTTGGAATATCTTGTATAATTTTTCATTACTTCAGGTGATATCTGAAAATTGGTGACCATTCATTTAAAACTGTATCTTAAAAAGTGGGGGAATATTCTTGACGGAACGCATTACTCAAAAGGGAGCAGAGACTTCTTAAGTAGTACACGACTGGTTTTGCTCCTCTTGCGAATTTTCCGGTATTGTCCAAGTGTAAGAAAACTTAGGGACTACTCCCACCAGATGAGCCTCAGAATAGACGGAAGTTGTGAGCTGTAAAAGAGATTTCACAAACTTGTAAGTAGTTTCTTTTGGGGAGATATACTGCGACATGTGGAATATCGTACCAAGTGAAGCATGAGGCCTTCCCTAGAGAATCTGAGACAGTTTTAGGACACTAAAGCCAAGAAAGCCTGTTATAATCCTTTTGGGATCGAGTAACTGAATGCTCTGTACCCGTGTCGTCCGTTTTGTCTGGATGGCTGAAGCATTTCCTCGCATATATCATTCATTACCACCTGTGACACTTGAACGTTTTTCCTCGTTAAAGGAAGCAATCGGATGACCGCAAAACACAAAGCACTGTTTCGGATTAACCCGAATCAGGTATACTACACTCTGGTTCTCGTCAGTGTCAGCATCTACTTCGGAATCTACGGATACTTATTGAGGAGAACACTGAAGGACAAGAAAGCTGATCAAGTTCCCGTGGATCCTGTCATGATAGTGAGTGTCGCCGACGTTGTATGTTTTGCAGTGGGCAGTGCTGAGTTGCACAGGAAACCAGTTGATTTATTTTTGTGTCGTCCACATGAAACTTGACATGCTAGATATTCATCCCTTTGTAATTATCGAAAACTTGAACCGATTGCTCTAACAAATACGTTCACAAAAACTGCGAGCTGCACGTTGGTACAAGCGATGCCCTTGTTCCTCGAGTGATCTCTCCAGCAACAAACGATTGTGACTTTAGTGTGTCTAGAGATGCATCAAACGCGGTCGAATCGACCTCTGAATCCTTACTATTCAGTAATTTGCGGTAGTACCACATTACTGCCCTATTCTAGTGAATGTGCTACGAAATTAATTCGGCAATTGAGAGTAACTGCTTAAAAATACGAGTGCGAAGATTGCCTCTGTCTATGCTTTGAACCGAGCTGAGTTGTCTAAAAACCTAAATTCACTTCCACGGAACCAAGTGGATGCGTTTAGATTACACAGATGCAAGAACAGTCAATTTGGTCGTTAGCCACATTGGTTTTCGGACTATCACTTGATGGTTGGTCCAGCTCAAATTAACCTGCATGGCCGGTGCATTTAACAGCCTGATGCTTTTACGCCGGCAGAACGTTCAAACCTATCCATCTTTGCTTTTCTCTCTTTCATAGTACTGTTTCTTTACAGGGCCGTTGTCATTGGTTATTGTTAAATCATCATCAGCATACCAACATTCATCTGCGACTCTTCACTGCTGTACAACCATAATTTATTTGAAAGCTTTATTGTGAAAAAATAAAATAAAAGCGAACGCGGAAGGGACTTAGTGCTACCCTATCACAATCATTCTAAGGTGCCTTCACCTCAACACACTTATTCAGGTAAGCTGGATGGAAATTAACAAAAACAAGAATGCCATTGACATTAGCAGCCAAATCTTGCAGCGTTTCCAACCAGGCACAGTGAGGAGCACGTGGTCCCCGACGTGGAAGGCCAGTAGCACCAACAGCACTCAAACGTTTCGTAATGCCCCACTGCCAGGTCAAGGGTTGGCCATCTGTCTGTTTCCGCCATTCTTAATTGGGCACGGAAAACTGCACTCTCTTTGGCAAACGAGGGTTCGGTTTGCGCAATACATGGCCTAAACAACGTAGCTTCTGATACTGGACACCTTAACAATACCGGAGATCGGTTCGGTCAGATGGAATTTGGTCGCAGTATGCACTGAGTGCATTGTAACAGGCGAACGGTATCTTCGAGTGACGCGTAATACCAGAAACTCCGGAAGGCAAGACAAAGTCGGAGCTGGGTTCCTATACGGTACTAATAATGTAAGACAAATTCACAAACTACACAAACCTCGACAGTAAATACTCGTCCAAAACAAAATTGTCCACTTGGACTACAAAAGTACAAACCAAAGGATCAAACAGGCTCCCACCTGCGACAGTCATACGTGTACAAAGTCGGCCACAAATGGCCGGATGACCTCAGGGCCAAATGGGTGAAGTGTTTAGGACAAAAAAAAGTCACTTCATGTACACATTAAAAACAATAGTGGAGCGGAGGTTACAAATAGGGACAGACTAGACGTGGGGAGTTCCAGTTGTCAACGTAATGGATGATACATACATCGTCCTAGGTTGCACTGCCATTTGACTAACGGTATATTGTGTACTCTGTCGTCTACCTACTCTGCAGTCTACCTATATATTCTCTCGTTTATTACACTGCACAAAATTTGTCCCATGTTTCAGCTGGAAGTATAATCAATATTTTACTTGTAATGTTTATGAAGACTCTTTGACAGTCCTCTTTAGCTCTTACACTTTGAGATACATCAGATAAGATTATTCCCTTGTTTGCCATGCCATCGATGTCATCCTTGGACACCAATTTGAAGATGTGAATAGAAGAACACTCATAAAGAATTACAAATGGTAGGATTGGTAGAAACTAAACTCATACGTCTAGCTGATAGGTACTAGAAAGGGCAGAGGAGTGTCCATGAGTTTTCAGAGACCAGAAGCATGAATGGTTTTGAATGGCGTTAGCGCGTTAGTAACGAGGTGATTACAAAACGGGTATTAGGTTGTGCGGGGTAAACATAAAGCACTACCAACTACGACGGCTCGGTCATGTGGCACGCATGCCGAAAAACCGTTTACCGAGACGAGTGTTGTTCATCGTGTCTCCTTCAAAATGAAGCAGACCACGAGGTGGACAGCGCAGGACTTGTCAGAAAGACGTGAAAGAGAGCACGAAGAGTTTGGGTGTTGTACTCCTTCAATGATGGGGTCCCCGTGACCCCATTTGTGTTTGTCTGGAGACGCTGCAAGGAATGGTGGTTAATCGATGTCAGTGGCCTTTGTGTTGTCAGATTCTTTAGATTGTCTGATTGAGCGTTCGGAGGTGCACGCACCTCAGAATGCGTGACATAGGCCAGCACTAGGTCCCCTCCCTCATCAACTCTTTTTCTCTTCTTTTGAATCTAGGGTTTTAAATATAATTAGACGAACCTTGTGGTCGTACGGCAGTGAAGCAGCAGCGTCAACATTGATATTGCTGTTTTTGATAATGATGATGATGATGGGCTCGAGATAGCTCAGTGGTAAAGGCGCCAGCTTACGGACCGGAAGGTCCGTGGTTCGAATCCAACATCAGTATCTTAACTGCTCCTGTTTCCATAATCCCTAGTGCCTGTACCTGGATTGTAAGTGGTGTGTTTACTGATTGCACGTCCAGTAGCATGACCTTACACACATGCAAAGTGCATATTTAAGGGGCGGAGGACTTTGATTAGTTTATCCAAAGGCGTCTGCGCCTTCTGCTCTTCGAAGACTAGAAGCATGTCGTCTGCATATTATAGATGGACGAGATAGCTCAGCGGTTAGAGCGCGAACTTACTGACCGGAAGGTCCGAGGTCCGAATCCGAACTCTGGCTATCTTGGTTTGAGCAACCTGGCAGTATCCCAGATCTCATGCCTTCTTCCGTTGACATGGGTGCATGATATGAATGCCCAATGTGGACGACTAAGCCCGAGAGAAGCACAACTAAGGGGTATATTTGAAGTCAATGCTCAGCGCATGGATAGCGTTGAGCGAGTGGTTTAGTTGTGTGCACATCATTGTCTGTTCCCAGCCAGTACGAACTTCCAGAGCAAACACTCAGATCGAGTTGCTTGAGGGCCTCAACCGCAAGACGGTTAAGGGCACAATTGGACCATGTGGGTATCAGTTACCTGGGTACGCAACTTGACTCTGATTATGCTACCGTGCGTACCCGGTTACCAATTCGCTTCCCGTCAGCATTTGTTGGGGATATCAATATCCCCCAGAAAACGCTGTTTTTATGTGTGCTAGCGAACTCCTGGCATCTTCAAGGTCAAACTATGAAAAATCAATGGCCTATTGATACTCCAAGAAAATTTAAATCCGACCACGTACAGGATACCATTCTTTCCACTGACTTGGGTTCGGAAGCTCCGGGCATCGCCTGTTGATCGTGTGTTGTTGGATTATTAAAGTTTGTGTCCGAGGTTCTCGTCTTCTTACTATTCGCCGCGCTAGGAGTCTGTATCAAGCAACATAGCTGGGGATAGAGTATTGCCACAATCCGCATTATCACATTGTTTGCTCGCTGCGTGACCGAACCGTAACAGCGTTCTATCCAATTAAAAGTTTGAAGAGTGACTAAGATTTAGGGTGAGATGGCTGAAGTGGTTGGAGCGCAAATTTACTGACCGGAAGGTCTGTGATTCGAACTCGACCTCTGCCTCTCGACTTCCCCTGTCCAGGCTTGGGCAACCTGGCAGTATCCCAGCCCTCGTGCCTCCTTCGTGTGGCATGGCAGCTAGGCACCGAAAGAGTGCTGCAGCTGGACGATTATTATTATTGATTAGGCACCTAATTTTGTGCTCCTTATAGAAGAGACCCGATTTAATCGGTTCGTCCCATTCATCGAATAGAAGACACACCCCGCTCCGGATAGACTGCGGTTCTATAACCACTGTGCAAGAGACGTCATTGGTCTGTATTCCCCAGTTGCCTTTTTACTCCAATTCTGATGTCAATTTCTTTTCTGCAGTTAGTTATAGATAAAAATCTACACGATCCGTGAGTTGGTTGCATTATGCATCATCAGCAGTTCTGCTAAACCCATATGTGTGATCCTTGAACAAGCATAGAACAGTTACTTGACAACCTCATGACTGAGGGTCGCATCGGTGATAAAAACCCTGTAAAAAAAAAGGACTCCTTGTGTAAGTCTGAGCCATCACATTGGAGAATGCTTGCCAAGCTCGGCGAACAGATCAACAGCCAACTGATCAACAACCATCTGAGGACTTATCAAGATCATATTATGCGTAAATCATAAGAGCTATTCAATGAAGAGCTAGAATATTTCTAAGTTAGAATTGGATACAGTTGGTGATACCCAGTTCAAGTTGCCCTGGTCGGTCTTGTTCAGTGTAAGGTGTTCGACACTGACAATTTAGAGTCCTGTGACATGTTGAATCAATCAATACATTGCCTCAAGCATTCACGGACCTTACGAAACGAATGTGTCACACCCAACCAAGTTTGTCTGCCATGAACCTGAGTACTGAAGATAGCTAATGTCGGGCGAAAATAACAGTGGTGCTGCGGTACATTCAGTAAAAGAAGAATGCCAGGTTAGTTAGAGAAGTATAAGACTTGGCTTACCGGGAGGTGTAAAATAAGTGTTCTTTCGGCGACTCGTAGGCAACTTCAATCGCATATCGCTTCCATGTGAGTAACGTGGAGTTTCAACCAACAGCAACCGTTTACTGGAAAATAAATTTTCAGTAAAACAGCCAAGGTTTTGATGTGCCTTTTGAGATGTTTGTTACACAAATTAGGTATTGCAAACCGTTCTTCGGATATCTAAAATGGTAGGCCCGTAATGTGAGCTCCGAACACTTAGTTCAAACTGTTTGTTTGCACCAACTCCACATTTCTTGGTTTTGTTTGGCACAAAATATTGAACAATTCTTTCCACAGCATAATGTTATACTGAACATTCATGAAGTTAGTTTGGGATGGACCGACTTTGGTCATCTTTGCAGTCTGCTGCACGAGTTCAACACAATACACAAGATCTGTTTCATGCTTGCTGAGAGTGACTTGCAATCACAGCCTACCAGTTCACCGAACGATCTCCAGCCAGTTGAGGTGGAACCGGATCATTCGCTGACAAGCGGCGACAGTATCTCGACGGACGGTGACATTAAAAATTCGTATCAAGACGAGCCGCTAACGTTAAACGAAGCTCTAATGAAGCATCAGGACAGTCGAAGTCAGCGCTCTATCCTGCTTACAGGGGAGCATTCATTACCAAGATTTTCCGTGCTGATCAATGAACCTTTATCTTATCAGGTCAGCGAGCCTATCTCACATTCTTTGTCAAGTCAGACTGAACAACGACAAAACGAATGAGGCTGAAAACACTTCATCCGCAGGCGTTCATCCGCTGAGCCACCAAGTGGGTTGTTTTACAAATCATCACTGACGAAATCTTGCAAAATGTCCTGTTTTGTACTGATCCGTTGGCACATGCGTGCCTACGCGTTACTGAGCCGAAATGCGTAATATTTTTGTGAATCAAACCAACTGTTTGTTCCTGACCATGTCTGTTTTATTTTCTTGATTCTATCGGTCTGTGAGATCCACGAAGTGTTGGGTGATTGTATTCTGAGGGCAGTATGCATTTCCATACGTTCCCGGGAGGGTTCATTCCTAAGGTACGAAACTGAGATTCATATAAATATGGTTGATTGATTCTGAGGGCAGTATACATTTCCATACGTTCCCGGGAGGGTTCATTCCTAAGGTACGAAACTGAGATTCATATAAATAGAGACCCCATTGGACAACCCGGAAAAGGAGGCCAACGAGAGGTCAAATTCTACCTTCGCTTCTATGGAGGAAGAATACTGTACTGGGTATTGTGCGCAAGGTATTTCAAGGTTGATTAGCAAGAACTCCTGACGAGTGAATAGTCAGATTACCTTCAGATATATATATTCCTCTATCCATCAACCACCAGTCTAAAATGGGAGCTTTCTGTCGTAAGAAACATGCATAAAATCCGAGGAAGTTTTTGCTGGAGCAGAACTGTATGGTGATTGTTCAAATGGTCTGATAAGACAGCGCATATCCGGTGTGGGTATTATGTGATTATTTTACAAAATAACTGAGTACTAAATGCAATTGGAATGACTAACAGATGCGATTTCTTATGAGTAATCACGACAGAGTTTATTCATGTGGGTCGTGATACTGTCACTCAGGGGGACATCAGTTTATGCTCCCTAATTGTTCGAACTAATCTAAATTTGGGAAACTACATCTGTTTGTTCTATTCCATTACTGAAAGTTGATACTGTCGCTGGAGGTCTGGTTCTAAGGCCTTTGAAATTCGAAGAAATTGCAGCTTTATTGAAATAGGAAAGTCCAAACTTACCCTATACCTGCTTGCATTTTTTTGCATCAGTACCAGGATTATTGTCCCTAAACTGAAATACTTTGGGTGATGGCTTGCAGCCGTTGAACATAAATCGTGGAACCTGCTAAGATTCTGGACCAAATATGTGGAGTTATACCAGCCAGAGAAGCACGTAAATTTGAGGACGGACCTCGTCAGCCAATCAAGAAAGAAGTACAAGAAATAGCCAACATTCCTCCGTCCTTGTTTCCTCGCTGCAGCTTCTACGGTGCTCAAAAGACTCATTGGCTGCATGGTCAAACGGGGTATCCACATCAGTAATCTACATCAGTAATCTTTGAGAAAGAATCATAGTTCTGTTCTGCAGGGAATCTGTCTGAATTATAGCTTCCTTGTCCGTAAGAACAAACTTTAGTCAAGCTGACAAAACGAAACAACACAGGCGCCCACGCTCATGGAAGTACCATACTGGACATACTTTACTATTGTCATTTTTGACCATGGTCATCGGAACGTCTCAGTCAATAACGCAAGCCATTTCGTGATTCACACTTCGTTTCACTTAAGGGCATAATGCGAATCCACAGACAGCTTGCGCGCAGCTGAATTCGCGTTTACGTGCAAGCTGTTGGCACCAAAATAAACGCGAGGAGTACGACTAGTGAGTGAGCGTGCAGAGGTCTGTCTCAAAAAATCAGCCAGCCAAGACATGACAGGCATAACGGTGGGCACCGGCACCACTTATCGGTGATACTGATCCAATTTGTTTCTTCTTTCAAGTTTTAGTTCAATACTTTACCTGATCCAGTGCAGCACCGGGGAGACCTTACCGGAACGTATCTCTTACCGCACCATCAAGTTAGTAACGGATAGCCTGGTAACATTCCGGCAACTCTGTGATTCTTGGTGCTTTCATCATCAAGATGACAATATTGGGAGGGTACCGTAGGCCAAACTTACCTCGACTCTAGGTGATAACTTCGTTTATCAGGTGGATAAGTGAGTAGGTTGGTGACTTACAAGACCGGTCTTACTGGGGAACGTTTGTCTGAATGTTAAACTGTTCCGCACGATACAGTACGCATTGGTAAGATTCATCCCTTTCCGAACGGCTCACTTGTTTTCGCCAATGTAACGTTTCACGTCTCACATCTAACGCCCACGTGGATAGTTGTTTTCCAGACCGTCCTGTAAAGTTCCAGGTTGTTCCACGATCTCAACTGGAGGCTGGAGTCCCTCAAACTTGCGTGACGGCTGTCTCCGTAGAGGAATTTTGGGTGTCCTCGATTTGGAACTTCAGTCTTCAACTGATCATAATCAGTCTGTTTTGAAATGAGGATTTTGGTCATTCGTTTCAAGTGGCTGGCTTCGCTTCCGACTGTACTCAGCCCAAACATTCTTTGATGTTTGAATGATTCCAATTTTGGAGATTCGGTGCTCCCAGTTGGTCCGGAGGATTTTGTATGGACAGTGTAATTGAAACTGGCCAAGAGCAAAACATCCTGTTAGTATATCGTTCACTTCTCGCTGTCCTACACTAGTAAAGACAGTGTAACAGCTCGGTACGCAGCAATCTTGGTGCGGTGTAATTGAAACTGGCCAAGAGCAGAACATCCTGTTAGTATATTGTTCACTTCTCGCTGTCCTACACTAGTGAAGACAGTATAACAGCTCGGTACGCAGCAATCTTGGTGCGTATGCGCAGGTAGCGAATGCTTTAGACGCTTCCCCTGAGCCACCATGTGCCATACTGGCCCTTGCGGTTCATGCGTTCACTTCATCGTCAAATCGCTGGTCTGTGGACAATGACGCACCAAGATAGCACAAACTCGTGCTGTAGATTATCTCACAAAAACTTAACGGAATAGATGGCGTTTTATTTTGAATCCACGGACACGTTTTAGAAGTATTCATATTCAGACCAAAGCCAGAAGCTGCTGATTCTCTTACGCCGCAGTCAGCCGTCATAATTCCACCGCAGAATGTGGGAATGACAAGCAGTTGTCTGCAAACAGCAGTATACGGACACGGGTTTGCGCAGCACGATTTTGGTCTGGAAAACGCAGATGATTGTCAAGTAGGGGGTGAAAATAACTGGAACAAAAACAACGGCATCCTTCATAGAAGGTTCAGCCGATCCACTTTCGATAGATTTCCAGCACAAATCTAGTGACTTCCATTTCTGTGTGAAATACGCTGGAAACTCTTGATATCACGTTTGGTTATTTCAACGGCTCGAATTTGGTCTCTACCTCGGCGCACATATTGTGAATGAGCTCGTCCAGTCCATCTGTTGGTATGTCTGTCTATTTGTGTGTGTGTGTATCTATGTGCTTGTGCGTACGCCCCCTGATCAAGCCTGTTATGCTAGATTATATGTTGTCGGAATGACCACTCATCAAGGCGTCAGTCTCAATCTGCTCACCACAGTCTCAGTCTTGTCCACCGCATTCCATCCCAGCTTGGCCGCACCATTGTTAGTGACCTTGTAACACATGCCCACTGCAAGAGGTTGAGAAATGTTTCGGATAGTCGCTGTGATCGCGAACCACTGCAGTAGATCAGCATAATTTGAGGTGCACGGCTAGGTTTGGATACTTGGAATCAGTCATCTACGCGTAATTCAAAATTAAGCCGGGTAAAGATGAGGATTTTGTGGGTGTTGCAAGTTGTTCCTGCAGATTACCGGACAGTCTGATCACATAATTCCACGAAATCTGTCCGGCATTGTTCCCAGATTGTTTGGTTTGGAACGAAGCGACCAAAGAGTTTAGTGACTCTAGCTTACGTTGTTAACAAAAGAAAGCTCAAAAGTAGGGTTAGGGACCATCGGGGTTCACACTAATATGTTAGATAGATGTTTGTTGGTCTGTTCGCCGAGCTGGGCAGTTCGGTTGCAAACGTTTCATCACCAATCGGAGTGACATCATCAGTGCAAGCTCGGCTAACAGACCAAACACCAAGCAGTGCACCAAAATCTCCAAGGGGTGAGGGCTAGACGATTATGGCCTAGTTCTAATTTTCATATCGTCATTTAGTGCAGCCCGCTTTTTTTAGTCAAAATAAAATCGAGACACATGTTGCACAACTTTTCAAAGCCAAGTTACTATGTTAAACAGATCATTTTCAGAATATGAAATAAGCCCTTACAAATCTATCGTTCAAATCGTGAGTCTTCCGTGAGAGAACGAGAAGGTGTAAAATATGTTATGCTTGCATTTTGAGTGACTTTTTCAGGTACCACTTATTTCTTCACATAAAGTGAGACTAAATGGCACGTGTGATGCGTGTTTTGCTCTCTTAACCAGCTGAATAGCAGGTACCTGGTGTTTTAACGTTTTAAGGCGTAAATTATCTACCTAGATGGCATGGTCTTTCAATTAACCTCCCGAATCGAAATGTAAACTGAAAGCTAAACATACCCGTATTGCTGATCACGAGTAACAGAACTAAGCTGGGCAGTTCTTTATGAACTATGTGTGAAGCATCGATCAGCAGAATAGATTTCAGTTAAAATTCACTCCTGCAAGTTAAGTCAACCTTCTGTAAAATGCTAGGAAAATTGTTCAGAATTTAATCCTTACCGATACTCACCAGGAATCTTTGGAAAAATTCGAATGTGCAACCTCCTGGTCGGGAAACTATGACCATTCAGCCACAAGTGTCCGACGAGCAAGATAAATAGCCCGCATGTAGGTAGGGTAGAGCACCAACAAATTTCAGGCATGAGGTTCACCCCGTGTAACCTCACGACGATGAATTCACTGTTCTTGGCATGAGCATCAACTGCCAGTTAAAATTTTTTGGGCCTCTCACTGTCTAATTTCGACGGGCTTCTCACATTGGAACTGCAACCAATTAAGCGAGACTGAATTAGGTTTTGATGCTAGTCGTGAAAATTCGCTTTCCTTTTATCACGGGAAGTTCAAAATTTTTTTCTGGGAGACCATCACAAAAGCCAAATCAAATATCATCCAAAGACTGCTTCGCCCATTGTCAGAGCTATCTATCTCACCCATATGCTCAATAGACTTACCTCATTTTGTCCACAAGTAATGTATTTAAAAGTTCAGCTAAAAACTATGTCAAGGTCCCCACTAACGGATGTAGGCATAGTTGAGATTGAAGTGTATCTCCAACACTTTCCTCCCAGTACGATCATCTGACCAGAGACG